CTGATGCTGGTAGCCATGAATAAGAAGATGATGGTGAAGCAAGTTTGTGATGGAGAGGATCTCAATTCATTCTGAAAAGGAAGGCGAAGATATAATTGGCATGATGCTGAGGCAAAACCATTATATTTTGTTTCCGAATTCGATGGATTCAAACATGAAAGCCGAATAGCTAAAGAAGAAAGAAATTGGATAAATTACGTTCAGCTTAAACCAATTAAAACCATTAATCATTCCCTTCCCCTGTTGGCAATCTGTTCTATCCTGCCTTCTTGATTCCCAACAAAGCAGAAGAGCTATTTTAGTTGGAGAAGCTTTGGAAAGAGACCCCATACCTTACTTGCACTTCATTCTTTCTTCTTTTTAACTCGTTTGCTATGTATTAATATCAATATGTTCATACAGCTTACAGACGAAAGATATAGAATTAAATCCAGCTGAATTCCCACGTACTATCCCTATTTAACACTCAATTTTATGCCATCAAGTCTCGAATCAAATCAATTAAACTTTCGATTAAAACTCCGAATCAAATCAAGTCTTCTCCTTCACTGTTTCTATCCTGCTAGTCCCGTTATCTGGGACTATACGATAGCAAAAGAGCTAATTCAGTGTTCTTTTTAACTCATGTGGTTTAATGAAAAAGCAAATATCAAAAGTAGGTTGCATACTGATAATATGTATTAGTACTCTATGTTAATATAGCTTACAGGCAAAAGATACAGAAAGAGCACCCGAGCATTTGGTTCATTGGTTGATATATAATGCCTTACTTAAAAGAATATGGTTCGAATCCTCCCTTCTCTAATTATAAAAAAAAAAAATACAGAAAGTTAATGAATTCAACTAAAATTCCATGTCAAAAGAAAATTCAACTTTAAAGTCCATAAAACATCAATAACATGCTTACAATTTCATTACCATGAAAGAAAATGTATTCAAGGAATAAAAAAACAAAGTCTGCAACAACCATCCTAATTACTAATTTACAAATCCCTTCGTCCTTTGAGATATCTCTTCAAATTGTAGCCTGTTTCTTCAACCATTCTTATCTGCCATCCTGGTTTTCCAAGTGTGATCATGATATATGCTTCCTCCAAACATAAAAAAAGAAAGAAAAAATTTATTTAAACGCGATGAATTCAACTAAAATTTCATGTCAATATCTGTAAAAGGGATAGAAAATTCAACTTTAAATTGCATATAACATCAACAACAGGCTTACAATTTCATTAGCATGAAAGAAAATTTATTCTACTAAGAAAGAAAAAAAAAAACAAAATCTGCAACAACCATCCTTACTTTTTTTGAAAAATAGAATTCATTATCAACCGGGAAAAAGCACTGGTGAACAAAAGAGAAGAGAACAAGCATTTGGATGGCTATGAGCACTAGCCAAGCAACATACTAGACCAAAAACAGGGCATCCCCTATAACAAATAACCTAAAAACATGATACAACCCCTGGAAGAGAAGACAAGGTGCAAGACAAAACAAAACACAACCAAGAAAAGAAAATCAAACTGAACATAAAAGGAACAACAAAAAGGAACACAAGCCATTCCATCCACCAGCAACAGATGAGATCTCCTTGTTAATTTACAAATTCCTTCGTCCTTTGAGATATCTCTTCAATTTGTAGCATGCTTCTTCAACCATCCTTACAAGCCATCTTGGCTTTCCAAGTGTGAACATGATGTATGCTGCAGATATTCCGAACACTAGTCCACTTCCATAACCCATTAACGCCACTTTCCACTCAAATCCAGATTCAGAATCTTCTTTCTCATGAAAAACGGATGCCTCAGTGTCGTCACATCTCTTTGACAATGGAAACCCACACAATCCCAAGTTACTAGCATAGGAATCATTGCCAAAGGTATTGAATTGCTTTCCCTCAGGTATAGGTCCAACGAGCTGATTTTGTGAAAGGTTTAACACTTCAAGAGAACCCAAACTAGACAATTGTGTAGGAATCTTCCCAACAAGCTTGTTCGAAGAGAGATCCAGTGACTCAAGTGCGGTCAAATTCCCCATTGATGTGGGGATACAACCACGAAGGTTATTATGAGAAAGGTTAAGCTCTTTGAGTGAGTTAAGCTCTCCAATAACCTTTGGAATCTCACCTTGAAACTCATTACTTGAGAGGTCAATGCTCGTCAACCTGAAGAAAATTTTCTCCAATTCAATCTCTTGTCCTTTTATTGCAATTCTAGTAGAATAGTTATAGAAGTCAGAAGCAGCACGACCCCCGGTCCCCATGTATGACATTTCTCTTTCATCTACAGTGAGATTTATCATAACCTTGAAATTTTGTATATATTTAACAGGAAGTGGTCCTGTAAAATGATTATTTGACAGGTCAAAAATTTGAATTTTGGAGAAAGAATGACTGGACCACGGGCCATGAATGGAACCATGCAGTTGATTCGAATGCAGCACAAGAACTCGTAATTGTGTGAGACTTTCCAACCATTGAGGAAATGTATCATTAATGATGGCTTGTGGTAAAGGCCCTTCTAATTGATTGCCATTCAAGTTGAGATAATTCAAGGGACATTCCTTTGTAAAAACTGGAGGAATGAGTCCATGAAAGTTGTTCATTTGTAGATTCAACACAAAAAGGACTTGGGTTAAGTTTCCCAGACATTGTGGAAGAATTCCACTCAAGTTGTTGTGAGACAAGTCAAGATATTCAAGGTTAGTTGCATGGCATAGCAGAGAAGGGATCTCTCCACTCAAACTATTATTTGAGATAAGAAACACCATTGTTGTTGAAGGTGGAATCAGAAGATCTCCGCGAATGAAATTGGAGCTAAGGTCAAGATATACAATTTCCTTCCATGGAATTTGCTCACAATCTGTCAAAGAGTTGTGAGATAGATTCAAGTTCCACAAAGAGTCCTTCCCCACATCCCACATCCACTCGGGTATCTTGCCATGAATTCTATTGTTGGAAAGGTCTAAATATTCTAAACGTTCTGAGCCTCTTAAAAATTGAGGAAATTCATTGACATTGCAAAATGACAGTTCTAAAGATTGAAGATTTGGCATTGTATAATTAGCACTACCACCATTAGAGCTTAAGGATAGACTGTTATATGAAAGATCAAGGTGTTGGAGATTTTGGAGTTTTGAGAACATGTCAACCTCTACAACACCAATCAGATTTGATAAGTCGACAAGTGTAAGGTTCACAAGATGGGATATGGAAGATGGAATAGGAACTTTGAGTTTATTATTCCCTAAGGAGATCTCTTCTAGTGATTTGCACTGGAATTCCTTGATATCACCACTGAGCTTGTTATCGTTGAGATATATATGCTTCAGTGTGCAAACAGTATACAACCATGAGGGAAGTGTTCCATTGAGTAAATTAGAAGATAAGTCTAGAGAGATTAGATTAGGAAAGGCATCGGGAATGGAACCCTCTAGTTGATTATTACTAATGTCTAAGAATTCAAGTTGTCTTAGGTTTATAATTGAGGATGGAATTCGACCACTAAAATAGTTCCATGACAAGCCTAAATCATTGAGTTGCGAGAGACGAAAAATATTTTCGGGGAATTTTCCTTGCAAATCACAATCGTTGAGACTAAGAGTCCTTAAAGATGAGGATAGATTCATCAAGACATTAGGATTAATAGAAGACATATTGATTCCATCTAGAAATAGTTGTCTCACCTCTGTTAAGTTCTCAACAAGTCCTTCAAAAGTATGTTTGTCAAGCGTTTGAAGATAATTTCGTGACAGATCAAGTGAAACCAATTTTGACAAGTGGGAGACTTGGGATGGGACTTGTCCTGTCAAGGAGTAAGAAAGGTTAAGATGCAACAGACTCGTAAACCGACCAAAGTTAGTGGACATTTTGGAAAAGTTAAAATAGTTGAAGGCTAGGTTGAGTTTCTGCAGGTGCGGAAGATGGAAGAGACTACTATTGGAAGGGAAGCTACCATATAGACAATTGCAACTCAAGTCAAGGCCAATCACTTGACCTTTGATGTTATCACAAGTGACCCCATCCCATGAGCAACAATCCGAACCCTCCTTCCATGAATTTGTCTTAGGATAATATTTCCCACAAGCAGGACCCCAATTACAATTGATGGGAAAAGAGCTCTTGAATTGGATCAATGCAGAAGCTTCTTCAAAAGAGCACAACTGTCGTATTGGAGAAGAACGAGATGAAAGACTAGATTGAAAATTGAGGAGGAACAAAAGAAGGTAGAGGAGTTGAAAGAGTTTGAGGAAGCACCGCATCTTTCTTAAGAAGAGAAATTAAATATTAATGGTATGATATGATTGAGATGAATGGAGAGAAGGCATAGATGAGTATTTATAAGCTGCCCAGTCGAACCAATGTCAAACAAATGGCAGCATTGGTCTTCGAAGTTCATAATTGATGGCTTGTCAAATTGAGGAAAAAGCTATCACGTTCGCGTGGAGAGCTAGTCTCAATGTTCACATTTATTTTCATTTGTTTATTTCTTTGCTGAAACTTTTCTCTGCAGTTTCATCAATTTGTCACAGGAATTTGTAGCTGAGTTTCTCAATATTTGGCTAACAATCAGTTAGCCAAGTGAATGCCTTTGTTTTACTTCAGTTATGTGTATGGGGTGACATTAGGCTACTATTTCTTAAACAAAGTGTGAAAGTTGCCGAGGAAGATGCATTTGCAGTGCATGCATGTGAAAATTTTCTCTAGTTTAACACTTTGAATCACACAATAAATTGGTTTTATTAATTAATTTATCCATTATATAACAGAATTCATATTTGTATACAAAAAGTAAGAGATGTTCTAGGCAAGTAATGTCCTATTGGCTTTGGCCTGAGGTTAAAACTCCTCAAAGGAAGCTTGCCGATGTTTTTTCTGGTTCCAACCGGTCTATAAACTTGAAACCAATTTTGCATTGGTTAGAATTTCCTTCAACAGAGCCAATTTTGCATTATCGATGGCATTTACATAGCAATAGAGTGAGAAATAGGCAATCACCTTGGGAGGTTTGTCTTCATGCTCACACGTATTTTCATTTGTTTATTATTTATGCTATTTCTTACTGTCTAAAGTTTGATTCTCAATAGTACATCCACTTGGACTTTCAAGTATTTTTAACAATTAGTAGACCAATTTGGTCCAAAAGCAAATACTACTTTTATATGTTGTATCAATTAAAAGAATGATGGTTGATAAGGATGTGCAATACCTAATATTTATACCATTTCTTGATGAAAAGCAAAAGACTTTCTAAGTCTTCTAGTGACAATTTGGAAGACAGAAACTTTGAATCGAAGCAAGAAATTTCCTTTCCCTGGCTAGTTCTTGAGCAAATGATTGATCCCTTTGGATCTACATTAATGAAAAGCACCTCAATGATACTTATTTTTCTGTAAATTCTGAGATGTAAGGTATGATTTCCTGCTGACTTTATTGGTGAAGTATTAACAAAAGAAAAAAAGTTTATGCGTCGAAAGTGTAGTAACCGAAACATTACAGAAGTATCCACAAAACTGCAATCTGCGGTATTGATGGCTAACAAAGTTAAAGGCAAACATCGACAAGGGATGAGAAAAGTAGTCTGCTGCTAATTCGAGGTTTCCGGGTAAACAACACTTCAAGGATAATCTATTTTGCCATATCATTCTCAAAAATTGTGGCAAACCATATCATCTGTTTAGCTGATGAAACTGAAACAGGGTTGTTAGAGTTCATAGTAGACAACATTCATTTGTTCAAGAGCATTTTGAACTAAAATATATAGGGAGTAACTTTTAACTCCATTTTGTTCAATTTCTAATGAAATATATTGAAAGAATGTAAAGATAGGATAAGCTCACATGATTACATCTGCAGATTAAAGAAGATAGAGACAAAATATATATATAAATAAAGACTCAATTTTGCCACTTCATGCTTTTGGAGCTACCATTTTTGCTATCGGAGATATATATCAAATCGTTTGGAAAACTTTATGGTGATTAACATATCGATCTTTCCACGTATCAATTTATTATCGGCATGATTTACTTTCGCATAAGTAATGGACAGTCGTGTATCAGGCTTTATCATTTTTACGTCAAATACGTGCATGAAAAGGTCTATGTGGCCTACATTGCAGTATTGACTAGGCTAGGAAAAAGGAAGAGATAAGCAAGGAGACCTGAATGCTGGAACTAGCTTCTTTGCATCATCAATGAAGCTACCTAAACGAAAATGGGGTCTAGAGATAATGATGACCAACAAAGTTAAAGGCAACCATCAACAAGGAATGATAAAAGTAGTCCGCTGCTTCAAAGTTTCGGAGTAAACAACACTTGAAAGATAATGTATTTCTTGTTCAAACTGTCCCATCATCTCTCGTCTCGCATTCAAAGATAAAAGTATTCCCACCAGAAATCCTGAGGGGAAGACAAGCAGCAACAGCAGAACCCAAGATGCACGAAGAACGAAATAGCCTCACCTGAAAATATAGAAACAGCAATACCAAAAAACAACAGGAGAAGTCAGTGTCATGGAACCAGCAAGGAGTCTACTGAAAATCTGAACGAGATTTCCACTTCTTGATGTTAATTACTTGTTAAATATACAGTAAACTTTTTTTAACAAAGAAAGAAAGGAAGAAAAGACAAAGTAAGGCCAATAGTTCCATAAGGCCAAAGATGTTTAGGCCCTTGTCTTCCACTAAGGAAAATAAAAAGAGAGAATTCCAAAGAAAAGAAGACTTTGCTGAAACTTTTCTCTGCAATTTCATCTATTGTTCAGAGGGATTTGAAGCAAGGTATCTCAATGTTTGGCTAACAATATCAATTATCCAAGTAAATGCCTTTGTTTTACTTCACTTAAATATGTATATGGGTGAGATTAGGCTACTATTTCTTAAACAAAGTGTGAACTTA